CCGAAGCCGAGTCCAGCCCGAGGGGCGCTTTTTCGAGGTCTCGACCCGGCTAGGCTGCCTACTCACCGCTCTACGGGGGCCAAGAGAGGCGGCGAAGCGAAGAGAAAATGGGTAGTTTTTTTTTGCGGTGCTCGGAGGGCGACGGAATAAAAGCGCTGGACTCCTCCCCTTCTCCTCCCGCCGGCTCGCCTTTGCTTTCCCCGCCTCACTCCACGAGCGATATCGACCTGCCTGCTCGTTCCTGATCCGGGCCAGGCGCTGGTGCACGTGTTACGTGGGGGCTTCGGCTGCTGCTGGGAACACCGCGTCGCCCGCCGCGCTGCCCTTCGCCATCTCCTGCCCCTCTGGGATCAGACGCTGGGCAAGCTGCGGGTGGGCGGCTCAGAGCACGATCGCGCTCTTACCTCTTGCAGGGGATTCTGCGCTCCGGCTCCCGGGACCCGAATCAGCCTCACTTCTGCTTACTTTACACGAGGAACACGCGGGCAAATTTCGAACAGATATGTTTAAAATTTCACTCTAGGCAAAGCTAGCTAAACCATTTCCCTGTCAAAAGCCGGAAAGGGAACTCATTATACCGTTAATTCGACCCAAATCAGTTTCAGTTTGCAACAGCTGCGACCCCTGAGTGACTTTGGGGGCCAATTGATCTCAGGTGAGCCTACCTCGCTGGGGTGTTTTGGTGCTAAAAAGTAAAATCCCCTCTGAGCTCCAAGAGATAAATGCAGTAAATTAATTCCATTAGAAGACAGTGAAAATTGTGTTCAAAGCAGGGAGCCTTCTTAAGATGATCTTGAAAAAGCTAAGCAGAGTCTGATTTGATTTTTCCCTGGGAAGGAGACCACCAAGAAATCCACGGCTGGAGAATGGATTCACAAATTAACACTGCCACCACCAGAGGGTAACAAAGGGAACCTCCTTAGCTCTTGTTCCAAGAAAAACTACCTGGAGTTGAGGAGCTCAGCTGGGGACTGTGGCTGGGGAATGCTGCTATATTAAGGAAAATCATTCTAATTTTTTTGTGTGTGGAAACTAAAATGTTAGATTTAAAGTTGGGAGACACTGTTGGCATACAGCCCCACCCCAAGTTTACTAGTCCCTGTATCTGAGCTCAGCTTTTCTCACAGGGATGTTGTAAAGACAACATGGGGAGAAAAATACTGTGAAAAATCAAGATTTAAATAGGGCTGGCAATTGTATATTTCAAGAGCTCTTTTTATTATTATTATTTATTATATCAATTTATATAGCCTCCCATCTGACAATTGTGACACATGGGATTAAAAACAAAACAAAACATCAACAATTAATAATGAAATAAATGGTGGCCTAGGACACGAACTTAAAAATGATAACTTTTGCAGCAACTGGAACTTCAAGCAATTGACCAGAACTAATCCCAAAGCAAGCTTAGAGTACTTGGAGAAAAGTCACCTCAGTTTTTCACTTCTCATTTAGGTTCTGCTTCAACATTTCATCAAGCCCTTTTCTGGAATTATCCCTTTCCTAAACAATGATCCTCATAAATGCAGCGTTAGCCAACGAGGATGGCAGCAGGTGACAGTGGCTGGCTGACCTTGGCTGAACTCAGAAAAGAGGCCATTAAGTCTGCAGATAGACAGAGAAGGGAAGAAATTATCCTGCAGGAAGGCAGTGGCAATCCCTGTAGTGTCAAGGAAGCCACGCAGACGTATCTGTGTAGCCATCGTATTTGACACAGGCAAGGATGTCCATAGGGTACGGTCCAAAAAGCCAAGATGGTGGCTACGACAGTGCAGTCAAAGCTCTGACCGCTTTTTATGTGTGTCAGTCGCCCCCGTGGTGGCTGCCATCTTGACCTTTTGGACCATGCCCCGCGGATACCCCTGGACATAGGGCGTCTTTATATAATTCTATTGGGGGGAGGTGTTTAAAAGTGAGTAGTAACGAGCAAAACTGGAAAGTGGAACAGGAGAAAGAGAGGGGGGAAGACTGTAAAGAAATGCAGAGGATGGAAGGAGCTTATTATAAAGCAAGAATGGGAGGTGAGGCTGGACAAGGGTAGAAAGAACAGAGCAAGGGGATGAAAGGGAGTAGAAGCCATTATACTGGGAGTTCCTCTGTCTTTTCTCGGCAGCTTCTGATTCTCCTCCCATACTGCAGCTCACACACATAGATCTCATCCAGACCGAAAGAAATAACTGGTTTCTCCCTGTGTGTGATCTATTCATGTGTGCAGAGTGAGCCAGAGTATGAAACCAAAGAGATGCCATACTACAAATATACATTCAGGTCTACTAGAATGTTTAGGGAAGGGCCTCCTGGCCTGATTTCTTTATTCTTGGACCATAAATATGGTTTTTTCCCTTCTCTGTCACCTCCTCATTATTTTCTTTCTCTTCTCCTTTTGGAGAACAGGTAAGTTTCCCTGCCACTGGGCTTTTAAAAAGCTGCCATTGTTATTAATAGAAGAGGGCTTTCTTCCTTCAAGCTTAATTGCTGCATGGAGGATGATGCGGGGATCAGAGCATACTGAGCAACTTTCTCAGTCTCCCGCATGTTAACTGAGTTGCTCACAAACTTCCATGGACACCAACTTTTTTTCCCCTAAGCATAATTGCTGCATGGAAAGTGGTGAGATCAGGGTTAATTCTGTCCTCTCCAATGGCAAATCCACTGCCTCTCCTTCCTGGAGTGGCAATTAGGCCTGGGCAAAAAGCCTGCTGTTTCTATCTTCCATCTTCTAAAGGTCACCCAGGTCTCTGATATGTAGGCTGGGATCTTAGGCCCCATGCCCCACATATACTAACGTCCCTGCCTCTCTGTTTGCTTTGGTTCTCAAATATTCATCGGTGTTGATATTTTACAAGGACTTTGGGGATGTGATGGCTCCTGACTTAGAGAGCTTTAAAAGGAGATTTCGGAACAAATAGCTAAATGCACTTGCCAAATTCTGAAACAGCTTTTGCCTCTCCTGAATGAAATGGGGCAAGCATTTCTGCCCAGTAGGCAACAGCTACGCCTTGAGTCTGATTTCATTTGCTGAAACTTCCCTGTTTAAACGGAGGTTGTGGAGTTTTCTGTTTTTCTCTCCTTGTTGCATTCAACACTGAAAGAGAAACACAGAACATAGAAAAGTACACTTGGGGGAACAATGATTTATTGTATGGTTTGTATACTGCTTCTTCATAGAGCTCCTAACATAGGCCTGCAGAAAGTTTGTTTTTAAAACAGTTTAAGCCTTAAATTGTCTTAGCCTCCAGGAGAAGAAAGGGGGTTCTGAAGCCTTTAAGAGAAACCATAAAGTAGAAAAATATTGGAAATGATTATTTGCAAATTGCAGAGCTACAGTTCAGAATAATATTCTACCATCCCCTGTATGCAATGAATAGCATTGCATTCACCTAAAGCAGGAAAAAGAATATTGTCAAACACTTAACACTTGATGGTGCTTTATAAATAGAAACTTTTAGAAGGGTGGAAAGTTGATTGTTTGCACTGAAGTAATGCCTTCAGTTTGTAGTATTACTGTTCCCAAGTGTGTGCACGTGTGTGTAAGTGTGGAGACACTGAGAAATTATCCAGGTAATTGTGGCCTGCTTTTTATCTCTTGCATTCTGAGGCTTTATCAGCTTTCCTCAATCAAATGCCCTCTAGATATTCTGGAGTTACATTTCCCAGAATTCTCAACCAGCACTGCCACTGTTGCCTGGGATTCTGGGAATTTAAGTTTTAACACATCTGGGCAGCCCAGGGAAAACCGAACTAGATGTCTGTGTGCAGCCCAACAAGCTGTTTGAATTGAATGGTATCGTTTCTTTCTCCAGACCCCATTTTTGAGCACTTCCTTCTAGAAGGCAAACAACAAACATCCCTGGAAGTAGACAGCCAGTAAAGTTACACAAAAACTCAGGCTGAAATTCCTGTATGATACCTGGTGTATCCGCTTTCATTCCTACACCTAAAAGAAGCATTTTGGAAAGCATATCATTGAAAACTAGCAATTTGAAAGGTTCGGGGTATACTAGCACCTCATTCTGTGTGAAGCAGGCTTTAGGCCAATAGCGTTTGAGAGGCAGAAAATGGGCGAAGGAGAGGGCTTCACTGCCGCTGAGCTGATTATATGTGAAATCCAGTTTGCAGAAACCCACAGAGAAGAAATAATGACGGGTGGATTATGCCACCATCAGCATGCTGTGACAAGGTAGCACCAGTTTCTCTCCTTAGACAGGAGATCGACACAGACTTTAATTTTCTATTAGCAAGTGCATTTTACACTGCAGATATGTGGCCTCATTCTGTGGGAGGGTGTGATGATTTTTTTAAAAAAATAGCTTTTCTGCATGCTATCAGTAGCCAGCCGTTTACAGCCCCCAAAGTGCCAAAGGGTATAAAGGCAGATAATAGAATTTACCCTAGCTAGACGAGGAGGGTGCTGATGACTGGAGAATAACGGAGCTAACTTGGCCCCTTGTTGTTCCATTCCATTAGCCCCCAAATGCATACTAGGATTGCCAGTGAAGAAGGGGAGAGGCAGTGTTATACTGCAGCCAAGAAGATCATCTTTAACCCCTGCTGTGAAGACAGGAACACTTATGAATGTAATCATCTGATAGCAAAGGGCTCCATTGCTACAAACAGTCAGGTGGGCTGGTTAATAAACAAGGAAATAGGCGAGTTCAACCTCGGGAGAAGATTTCAGCTGTTGCTGCTGCCCTGTTGCCATTCCTGGGAGGAAAGCCCATGCTGGCTGGGGAATTCTGGGAGTTGAAGTCCACTCATCTTAAAGTGGCCAAGTTTGGACAACACTGATTTAACAACATGTTGCAAATAGACGGGCAGGCACTCATTGCACCCTCCCTGAGAGCCAGGAACATCTTCACCCATCTCAGACATGGAATCTGCATTTGGACAAGGACAATTGCTGGCCCTGCATCGTTACAGAGCCAAATTTCCCCTTCTGCTGGAGAAGAAAAATTTCAGCCCTAGAAGTCTACATATAGAACTCTGGGGAAAAAGGAAGGAAGAAGTTGTGTGCTGAGGCTGGGATGAGGGGAGGTCATGATGGTCTTCTGCCTGTTGGAAAAAAAAAAATTCTACAAGAAGCTGAAAAAAAAAATCCACAAACACAAGCAAGGGGAATTTAGTACCTTCAGGCATCAGGTCATCCTAAGGAATATGTAACAAGTGTAGCT